ACAATGACCTCCGCCTAGCATAGCCGCTGATATTCCCCTCTTCTGACTCACATCTGAATGCGATGCGATACTTTGGTTCTTCATCTTCGTCCCATGGTACTGCGGTGACGCGACGCAGAGCAGCGAGCGACTCACAACTTCCGAAATCCATATGTACCCATCTAATCAGGTCCTTTCGAAAAGAGAAGTATCGTCAACACAAGAGCTAGCATAGCCGCCTAAGGCTCTCAACCGCGCCTCATATCCGCTACGCCACAGCCAAGAAGTATGAACATCTCTCAGAACAGTCTTTTGAACTTACTATCAACCTTCCAGGCTTCACGCATCTCTTCGGTTCTCTTCATCAATTTTCCCCCCAGATATTACTGTCGTCGTCACAGTACCCCCCTTCAGCCATCTTCACTTCACCGCAAGCACTCGAGCCAGCGCACACACATTCGCACTATTCGTTCAAGCCAGAGACTACAAATCCATGGGCTCTTTTCTATCAAAACTAAAGCGCGAAGTCGAACGTGTGAAAGACGAAGTAAATCATATATCAGCAGCATATGCTGCGCGGAGAAACGGTGAAAGAGCCCGCGGATATTTCGAGGGTACTGGTGCACACGCAGGCCACCACTGACCGTATGGAGATTTCAACGGCACATATGCCAGGACAACTCCTTTTTATGATGGAGGTGATATGCACGGCAGGAAATACAATGGGTTGGGTAGAGCAGACAGCGCGTTTAGTAACGGTGACGGTGGTGTTGTAGGGATGTCTAGTGAGGGCAGAGCGTCTGGTGAAGGAGGTCGAAGTGGAGGAAGTGACTAGAGATGGTTGGCTGCACACGAGCTAGAGATTGTAAAAAGACAGAACGTGGAATGCGCGCAGTCAGGGCTCTTGGTACTGGCAGAGTTATCTTTGTGCTGTTATTCAAAAGTTCAAGGTCACCGGGGAATATGCTCACATTGTGTGCTTCACTGCGCTCTCTTCCATTGTTCACGTATAAGACCTCGATAAAATTACTCGTATATCGCTCGCTCATCATACATAATCATACAGGCCTCCCTTCCCCGCAGTCAAAACGTACCTGCGAGAGGTATACTCTACACACTTTATACCTACTCAAAGTTCCAAAATCACATCATGGGTTGTTCATCCTCGAAACCAATCCCCAAACCAGCTTCCAACTCTTCCACCGCAAAACCGCCGACTCCTTCCCCCACGCCCACCAAGTCAGAAGCAAAAGCTCAGCCTGAATATTTAGCACCGCGTAATACTCCCACACCTCCATTCATTACAGCGCCATCTACTCCTGTTCCGATGAAAGGCCCCTTGGCGAGCAAGTATGGGTATTACGATACGGGGTTTACTTGGATTAGTACGCGGGATAAGATGATGGAGTGAGGGGCGCGGCAGAGAAAGGGAATAGCAATTTGCGAGACTGAATACAATGAGTGCCATATGGACTGAATGATGAGCTGAAAATCTTTCGTGATGTGACCAGTTCTGGGAATGGATTCACTTGTGTATGTAACAGTTTCTGGAAGCGTCGTCTTGCTAATCGAAGATGTGACGTCGTGAAGCGACCTCGGGACACTCTTCACTCATCGCAGCGAATTCATTCCTTACCTTGGCTCTCTCTTACTTCGTAAAACCCGCGTACACATATCTACCCTGCCAATACTAGCCACCATCATAACCCTCGACACCCCAGGAACCGAAACAGTCATGGGTTGCACATCTTCCAAGTCCGCAGAACCTCTCCCTGTCCCTCGGCCGATCGAAACAAACACCACTACTCATGTCACTACATCTACCGCTGAAGGCCCTAGTCCCATTTCCGACATCCCACACCCACAGTCACAGCTGCCTCGAGCGACCATACGACAAGTCACGCCGGACGACCCTGTCCTAACTAACGCTAAGATACACGATACGCAGGCTAGATCGAACAACATACCGTACTACGAGAACAAGTTATGGCGACGAGGATAGGGTGTATGTACCGCGCTTTCAACACCTGCATATTGAAGACGCCACTTCACCTGCTACCAGCACTCAGATGATTCAACGCTACTCTTCGTTCGTCACTGCCACGCCTCTCCACCACATATCCTCCTTAACACATAGCGAACGCTCATACAAACCCTCCTTCATACTCAAACACTTCCCCCTTCTGACCTCCCATATCCTCCAACCTTCAAGCACTTAAGACTATCCAAATACAACACCATGGGCTGCATACCATCAACTCCCAAGCCTACCACCAAACCCATTACCATACCCAACCCTAATGCCATTAATCCTAATCCTACTAGCAGAACACGACTAACGCGAAGCCCTGTTTACGATCCTCCCGAATACACAGACGCCAGTAAACTGAGTTATAACCGCGGAAGTGGCGGTGTGTACAAGGGTGCGTCGGGGAGTACGTATAAACGTAATAGAGTGTCTGATGCTACAGATGTAGGGGGAGATGGAGTTGGTGATGGGGGTGGTGATGGGGGTGGAGGTAGTCATGGGCATAGTGGTGCGCATAGTCATGGGCTCGGTGGGGATAGTGGTGGACATGTCGGTGGGCATAGTAGCGACCATAGTGGTGGACATGTCGGTGGGCATAGTAGCGACCATAGTGGTGGACACAGTGGCGGGGGTAGTGGCGGAGGAAGCTGAGTGTTGTGAGCGATGAGCCGTGGAAAAATGATGAAGATGACGAGGGAGCGAAAGAACAGTACGATAGTTCTTTCTTTCTGTTATTGAAGCGAATCTGATTTTGGGTATCTTTGCGCCGTTGCTGTTTAGCCAGCTGTGTAGCTTGCCGCTGTGCTCGAGATCTGTTATAAGCTCTCATGAGCCTCTCTGGCTGTTATGTTGCCCTTCCCTTCCCTCCAAGACGTGGTGTTCTCTCTTCTTCCATGTATGACCGTACCATAAAGGCCCCACTCACCGCATCATACGAAACGGATGCCCTTCTGTGCTAAACACCCAGCTATCCAAACTCGCGACCTCAACATCCGAGAAGGTGAGCCAAAGATACTTCAACGTCTCCGCAGCCCAGAAGCTCTCTTGCATATCCACCCATTTGTCGTCGCCATTTGACTTTGTATCATACACATCAGCCAGTTGTGCGTATCCAAACGGCGCTTTGCAATGCTTTTCCATAGCCGAGAAAGCTTCCCATGCCCATTCGCGATACCGTTTGTCGCCCGTTATGCGCCATGCGTAGAACAGACTTTCCACATACTCGGGCCGGCCTTTGTATGCTGGTTCTAGTGCCCAGATACCGCTAGCCATCGCTTCGCGCTCTTGACGGGCGGTCTCGGGGATAAAGAGCGGGTCATCGTATCCGAATTTGGGTATCCATGCCCATGTCTCTGGGCCGATCTTGGTGGGTGTAGAGGTATACGAGTGGCGGCAGCCTTCGAGGAGCGCGAGCGCAAAGGTACGGAGGTAGGGTTCGTCGTAGAGTCTGGATGCGAGGAGGATGGTACCGGGTGCGAAGCAGGCAAGATGTCCTTGCTGGTTCTCATATTCTTTGTTGTATCGTCCGATGTAGAGGTGTTGCATGTAGTGATCGGGTGCTGGTGCGGAGCGGGAACTGAGGTGTTTGCGCAAGGAGTACGCTGCATCTGTGAAGCGATGTTTGTATGTGCCGAGGTGAGGATCTGTTGGCGGTGCTAAAAGCGTCATCTTGACGAGGTACTCGTAGTATGAATCGTGTCCACCATCCCAGTGCCTCTGGCGGCCCACTGGCTCTCCTGTCATGATGTCGACAGGCGCGTCAACCATGCCTGGCCACGGTGTCTTCCACTTCGACCATACAAGTGGCGCCCACGCGTTCGTCGAGTTCTGCGTGTATGTCAAGTTGCCAGTCAATCTGGTCAAGACGCGGTTTTCGAGGATTGAAGAGCCAGTTCGCGCAGGGCCTATAGCGGGGTGTTGGTCGTAGCCGTGTTTGGTTGGGTCGTCGCTGAAGACGAAGGAAGGATCTGGCTCGCCCTGCTCCGTTTCAAAGTCGACACGAGGCCATGGCATGCCTGTGGGGGTGTCGTATGCTGGAGCAAGTTTCCCCGCTAGGGTGACAGCATGCTCCAGTACTAGATCGCGTGCCTCTTCGCTCAGTACGTCTTCCGGAATGAGGCCGGTGTCGTACATGTCCACAATAGACAAAAGCCCGCCCAGGTATCGTATGGTGGTCTCGAAAGGGTCGACGAGGTCCTTCGCTTCGGTGAAGTCGATAGCGAGTATGTGCTCGAGAGAATGCGCCAACTCGTCCCATAGCCCCATGAGTGCCAATGTACTCGCGGAATCCACGATGAAAGCGCCCCACCCGTTTCTAGATGATGAGTTGCCTCCTGACACAGGCAGGATATCATCGCAGCCCCAAGCGTTCTCCCTGTACTTCCAAAAGGTATATTTCATGGCATCCCGCACGCTCTTCGCCCGTGCCTCGTCCGCCTCGCCCGTTCCATTCCAGTCCGCATGTTGTATTTGTGCGCCGAACTTCGGTATATCCCTCTCTCGAACAGTCGGGTTCTGGAACTCCTTGATGAGGAGGTACAGGGTGATGACGATGATGGCCGCGAGGAGCTTGAACGACGACTCGGGATTCCGCTCGAATTTCGACTTGCCCCAGCGGCGGAAGCCGGGCATAGTTAAAGAGTGGTAGAGGCCTTATGGTGCTGGCGGAGGCGCTCAAGAGGCGGGTGGTAATAGCGCGCACATCTGCCCAGGTGGTCTCAGGGTGCGGAGTGGGTGCGGAGGTGCGGCGATCGATGTTCAAGGTTCCAAGCTATGAGACCATGCTTGGCTCGAACGGGATGACTATTGCGTGGTGAATGAAAGAACGGTGCTCAATGATAATGAGTGAATGTACGAGACGAGTTTACACATGTGAGCGCTGACGTCGTGTCGCGCTCGAGTCTGAGAGTTGCTCCAGGCTTGGCGCTGAGCCCTCAGCGTCGTCATCGCGAACTTTGCGACACCAACGCGTGTGCACATCATCAACTTCGACATGGCTGTCTGGCAGTACGTGTGCACCCTGCATATGCACGTTTCCATTACTAACATTGACATAGATGGTTCAAGAACATACCGCCCAAGACGCGCATGATCATTGGCGTGGGCGTCATGGCGTATGCGGGCGCTGGCCTCTACATATCCGACAAGGCTGAGGAGAAATTTGGCCTCACCCCAACCGAGAAAGACAGGGAAGAGCTGCGAGACGCCATACCTAAAGTTTCAACTGTTGAGAAGAGGTTATGACCAAAAATCGGAAAACATGCGCACGAAAGTCCACTCAGAGGCGGTTGATGCTGCCACCAAAGACGAGACTTCAAGGAGCCGCGTGTGCGTCCGCCACTTACAAGAAATACTTATACCATGGAATGTCCGATGCATATTGGAGAAGATAAGGCTCGTCACTGTCGAGCAGTTACCAGTTTCTGAGGCACATATGATACCTTGTTCTCCGCACACTCGAAGACCGACAAAATTCAAAGTGTCTGGTGATGATGGTGATAATGACCAGCTGAACTCTCCGGCGAGGACTTGGCGCTTACGTCGGACATATGCAAGGCTGGCAGCTCATATTCTCAAGCTGTTCAGCCTGGTGCAGTGATCTTTCTACGTCACATTGGTATCACAACAAAAGCTTTTCAACACCAACACGACAGCCGCAAGCATGGAACGAGGAAGAACAGAAAATAGGACCCGTGCAGCTTCACCCGAATATCATACCAGCAACCGTCGTTCGCGCGCACACTCTCCCGCAGGCAGCTTCTACCATGACAGATCACCGGGTCCCATCGCGATCCCATATGATTTTGGGGTATACTGGCCCAACAGACGGGAATCAGATGCGAACTCGGATTCATCATGGCAGAGACCGGACCGCGAACCGGCTGCGGATCCAGATCCATCGTCCTATCGTCACTATCAGCACAGTTTCATCGCAAATACCGAAATACGTCTTCTCCGTATTGATCCTGGTACCTTTACGAGTGACCTCTCCTGTGCTTTGAAAATTGTGACTCTGGAGAAACTTGCAAACACAGTCCACGCATTTCAGGCGTTGTCATACGCCTGGGGTACAGACCTTACCGAGAACCGTGTCTACATGACAGACCTTCCTAGATCACGCGCAAAACAGGAGACGGTGGACTCGACGAGGCGCATATATTTCGTTCGATCGAGCCTCTATCATGCACTTAAACACGTGCGCGATACAGACGATTACGTTTGGTTGTGGTGTGATGCCATGTGCATCGATCAAAAAAGTAGGAGCGAAAAGAGTCGGCAGATTCCGTTGATGCCACAGATTTACTCTTCAGCCTGGAACGTTATTGCCTGGCTTGGACACGACGAGTTCGAAGAGGGAGATATCGAAAGAGCTGCCGGCCTCATTCCAATCCTACTGAATTTGAAGATGCTGGATTCTATTCTTAGAGAGCACACAGCTGATGATGGCGTACTTCAGTCTTGGGTGTCGTTCGGACGTCTCATCAAGCGACCATGGTTCAAGCGCCGCTGGGTAATTCAAGAAGTAGCGTGTGCGAGAAGGCTCGCACTTCGTATTGCAAACAGGATCATTAGCTGGCAGGACTTCTCAGATGCAGTGGATCTCTACTTGGCGAATGTTCATCGGATTCAGATAATATATCGCCGATCAACGCTCTACTCAGAGATGCCAACTGCTCTATACAATATCGAAGACTCTGAAGCCGCAACGCTCATGCGGCTTTCCCGAAACGTCTTCCGGAAATCATCAGACTCGACAGTCATGTCAAGAGATATGAATCTAGAGTCACTGGTTTCCATGTCATCATCATTCGCCGTGTCGAATATTCGCGACGTCATTTACGCTTTATTGTTTCTTGCAAACGACCCATTGGTATTTGTTCCCGACTATTCAAAATCGTCGGCCCTTGTCCTTGTGGAATTTACTCGCTACTTCATAGAAACGTCCAAGTCGCTTGATATCATCTGTCGACCATGGGCAAATTGGCCACGTCCGACGCGCTATCATCTATACGAAGGCATGAGTCTTCCTACATGGATTGGAGTAGCATCATTTGGCAAAGACGGACACCCTCAGAGGCTAGTTTCAGAGGGAAGTTTGCTTGGACCTACAGGGATACGCGCCTATGATGCGTGTCGAGGCGCACCAATACCAGCCCCAGTCACGCTGTACGACTTTTGGAATATATTACCAACTGAAGGTGTCATACTGGGCAGAGTCGAGGAGATGTCTCCGATAATGAATGGGAGAATACTTCATCATTACTGCCTCCAAACGCTCGGATGGGACGGAAACATGGACGACGGCATTGATGACCGGTTGTGGCGGAGTCTTGTTGCAAATCGCGACCCTCATGGCAACACCGCCCCGACCTGGTATCGGCGAGCATGCGCTTTGGCAATGACTAAGCTTGACGATGAAGGCAATCTTCATCTGGCCGACTTGTGTGCTGATGAATCGCAATCCAACGCAATGATCAAGTATTTGAGACGCGTTCAAGACGCTACACGGAATCGACGAATATTCCGTTGCGCTAAGCCTGTACTGAGGACTGGCGATGTCGACCGCCACGGACAAGAATCTAGAGGCGTCGTCGGCTTGGGACCACTTTACTTGGATCTCAATGATCCTCACTGGGTCTGTATACTTTTCGGCTGCTCAGTACCCGTTATGGTGACGCGAAAGAGAATTCTGGAGGACGATCCGACCCATGCATTCCTTGTTGGGGCGTGCTATGTGCATGGAAACATGGAAGGAGAAATGTTCGCGGGGATGAGTAAGGAAGAGATCAAACGGCGATCGGGGCCTTTCAACATTCATTGAAATTTTCATTCATTCTTTCATAATACCGGCTACTGTACGTATGAAACTCGGAGCATATACCCTTGTCCCCGTTTAATCGACGAACCCACAAACCGTTTTACCGCTTACCCACCGCATTAATCGTATGTTCTACTTCCATTCTTTCGGCCACTTATCCTGATTGTCACTATAATCCGGCAAATCGATCTTCACCACCGTCTTCCCCTTCCCATCGCCTTCCTTCCTCTCATTCGCCAAAAGTACATCCACCAAAAACTTCCTCAGACCTGCTGGCGTCTTGTTCGTGTACACGCCAACGAAAGTACCCAATCTCCTCCATTGATTAACACCCCTCAAGCTCTGAGCAGTCATTGGGTCTTCAGCAGCCCAGGTCTGGAACGTCTTCTTGTATATGCGCTCGAGATAGAAACGTGCCCGATTTGGCCACATCAGCTTCTCCCCAATATCGTCAAGCAGGGAGTCTTTCACGTCGGACGGAAGTTTCCTAGCCCAGAGGATGATATCAGAGTCTGGCATCTTGAGAAAGTCTGGGGGTGGACGCTTGGTTTGCGTAGCACCCGGAGTGGTGGACTTACCGGATGCCGCAGCAGGACTGTTTTGTTCGGGCTCTTCGTCGGAATCAAAGTTCAAATCGTCTGAGTGGACCGAGTCGCTTAAATCCATGATGTCGTCTTCCGCCATCTTCGCCTTCTTGTGGCCACCCATGTTATCTTCGCCACTGCGAGATCGCTTGGCAGCTGCGGGTTGCCTCTCATCAAAGACCTCATACCTCTCCTTCATCCTCTCTCCGATGATACCTGGGTAGTCTCGCAAAGTCTTGCGCTCATCGTCGGTGAAGACGTCGGGGTCCTTGAGCCATGTACTGGTTAAGCGATCGTTAGACTCGTCGCTGAATGAGGCGCCGGAAAGAGCCTGTAGTATTGCTCTCATTGAGATACCGTCTTCTGTGGCTTTGTTACCGAGCTGGCATCGTTCGATACGTTCGAGATTGCTTTCTCGCCATAGCTTGATTTGTTCTGAGGGTACTGCTTGCTCGTCGGCGAAGTCTGCGGGGATATCGGTGATTGTGTCGGGGCGGTTGAGCAGAGGGAGGTAAGAGCGATGCGGTGGATTGTTAGTGGTTGGTGGAGGATCATCGCCTGGTGGAGGGTCACCGCCTGCTCGAGGATTGCCAGCTGCAGCGAGTGTAGCCGCTGCCTCTGCCGCTGCCTTCTTGTCCTCATCCTTCATCGTCCTCCATGCCAGCCTATAGGCCTCTTCCTTTGTTGTGCAACCTCTATAATGGCCAGGTCGCTCTCGAATAAATCCGCGAAGGATGTTTTTGGATGCTTGTGTGTTTTGCGGATCGTTCAAATCGTCGATGTAAGTGTCGTCCTCATCTTCGTCGTCCGTATCCCAAACATTCTTTTCGGGAGGAGGAGTTGGGCGTCTTCCCCCGTTACCACCACCGGGACGGGATCCTCTGCCACCACCGCCACCATCAACACCGCCGCTGCCGCTGCCGCCGCCTGATCTTTTACCTCTAGCCGAATGTTTCTGGAATTCGTATCTATCGAACAACCCCGGCGGCCTATCTGACATGCCCGTTCGATCGCGCCAAGCCGTAGCAACCCAAGGCGCAACGACCTTAGGATCCAAAATACGAAAGACATCTGGCGTCATCTTCAACGACAGTTCATCAGCTTTCGCATCCTTCTCACTTTGGACCTGTATAATTCTCTGCATCTCAACTCTTGTATACAGAGAATCAAAGTCCAAGTCGTTACAATGTTGTTCCTTTTTCCGCTTCCCGAAGAGTGTACGTAAATGGGATAGGCGATTGCGCTGATACAGATACTCAAGAAAAGCGACAACGTAAGGACCGCACGCTCCATGGTCGTGGCGGAAACTATTGTTCTCGCTCTGGTGCGGAACGTATTTCGCGGTCTTTGCGTTGTACTTCCCTCGCTCGGGCCCAAGAAGCTGTTCGATGCCACAGAGGATTTTGCCGGCCACTGTTGCTGCTCTCGACATGTCAGGAGGAAACCGGTCGTTCTTTCCATCACGGATGACGAGGGTAATATTTCCATCGATCCAGCGTGCTGTCTTTGTTTGTTTATCGACTACTAAGAGACCCCAGTGATTGCCAATGGCCGGAAGTACTTCGGGCAACTCATTTGGCTTTTTACCATCTCTTTTGGCCAGCTTCTTTTTCTTTCTAGGGGCTGGTTCTGGGGTGTTCTCATTGCCCTCTGGTGTCGCATCGGGCATTGGTGTATCATATGCCCGCTCGAGATCGGGGTACTCTTCGGCTGGGTCTTCAGCTTGCGCAGCACCCTCTTCCGCTTCTATCACTTCGCCTTCTTCCACTTGTTCGGCAGGTTCTTTCCGGGCTTCTTCAGCTTCTTTTGCAATTCTATGGTCTTCCTTACCCTGCTCTTCCTGTGGCTTGAGTTGTAGTGGACCATCGTTCACAGGCACTACTATGAAGCGCTTTGCATCCTTCACTACAGGCGCAACAGTACTGTGTCGGAGGAAGTCGTCCATGGTACTGTCTCCTGTAATAAAATTGTACAATTCGACGCCCTGCTGGATTGCGAGTGCGCAGACATTTTTTGGCTCCTTGTGTGCTGTCAACAGAGCGAAGGCAACGTCAAGACTGCCTTCTTGGAGCCAGGAAGCAAGGTTATCGGGTGCTGTAGTTGTGATATTCAAATATTCTTGGACCATAATCTCGCGGGTGTAGCCATGCTCATCTTTGAGCTCAACTAGACTGGTGTTTAGCCATTTATTGAGGGGATTGTCGTCAGTCTGTGTGCCTTCGTCATTGCTAGTAGCGTCAACCGCTGGTGTGCCTTGAATATCATCAACTTCTGTCGAGCCGTTGGCGGTATCTTCCGGAGTGCCTGCCATTTTGCAAATGCTTTATGCGTGGTGTCCTTTTGATGAAATCAACGAGTGTCATAGATGCCGCGGACGTGCAAGCTTGATATGTAGCGTCCTCATCGAGTTGTTCGAACAAAGCCGAAGATGCTTGAAAAGAGGACGGGAGGCGACAAACAAAGACACCAAGGTAGATAGCAACGCCCTTTGTCGAGTATCGGACGACACCATCATTGTCCGAGTCTCTTTCACGTCCGTTTTGGGATGGAAAGTTGATAAGCTGATCTAGTCGTTAGCGAATACATGAGGGCAGTCGGATGTAAGAGGAAGTAAATTCTGTGAATCGTCCATTGAGTAGCTAGAGAGATGTCTAATCTGCCACAGAAGTGTCAGCTACAGAACACCGAGGCAACGACGGATATAGACGAATACCGGGAAAGTGGTAAATACCGATCCATGCTGCCGGTACACCTCCTGGCACCTTTGTCACACCCGTCTACCTCCATTGTCTTGCCGGCTCTGGCGGCACAACATGTCGGTCATCTGCCCCTTCCCTAATCAGGTTTGCCGGATCCGTGAACGGGTTTGCGTGCGCTTCTAGGTCTTCGGGCGACGCTCGTGATGTCGCTATCTTCGGCTGCTGGCCTGGGGTACCATCAATGAACGTGAGACCGAAATTGTTCAGCGGAACAGGCGTAGCATTAGCACCGAGACTCGAAGACGGAAAATCGCGAAGGTTTTGTTGCGCGGGGGTAAGGGAAGAAGCGCCGCTGAGATCGTCTAGTCGCATAGACTGTTGCGCATCCGTCTTGCGGTTGATGTATGCGGCAGCGAGCGCGAAGCCGAAGTAGATGGCCATGCTGTTACTGATTAGCTCGTTGCTCAAAATTCCTCGTTCATCTGACATTATAAGACTTACCAAACCGCACCCAACATGCCCAAAACCTCACACCCCCTTTCGATCCCCTTTGCCCATCTACTCCACCTGTCCAACGTATACATCGTCTTATCGTATTGCCAGCACGAATCCCTAGTGAGAGCCACAGTGTGCCTCAAACTATAATCGATCTTGCTACTGGGGAAAGTATTCATCCAAACAGTGCCCAAAGCGACCAGCACGAAGTAGACGGCGAGGCACGTAGACCAGAGCATGCCAGCACGGTTGGAGATGCGCGCGGAGCGGTAGTGGCTCCGAAGGAGGAGGAGGAGATCGACGACTAGGAGGAGCGGGTTGAAGATCAGGATTGCTATAATCGTGCTGCGAGGATGTTTGGTTAGCATATCTTCATATATGGGATAGTACGATAGAAAGACAAAACTTACAAAATCCCTCCCCTTTCCTTCCCACTCAGATACTCGGGCCCCATTAGCCCCGGGTCCGTATTATTCCACCCAACATCCATCCCATTCCAGAACTTCACGCGATCCACATTCGCATACAGCACCGGCAACGTCTTCACGACCCTATTCAACACATATCCATCCGTATCCCCGTATAGCCCATACCTGGTGAAGTCAAAGTTGCTACTGTCATCCACATTCCAGCATTCGACTTCGCTTTGGGGAGAGGCGAGTAGACGGTGGGCCATGGCAACGCACAAACCGAGTTGCGCGACGGCGAAGAGGATGGAGAGGAAGAGGAGGATGTCGGTTGCGAGGCCGGTGCGAGAAGGCCAGCGGGTTGATCGAGAGTGAGTGAAGAGGGTGAGGCAGGCGCGGGCTTCTTTGAGGGGCGTTGTGTGGGGGCGCGTCATGGTGGTGTTGCTAGTGGTGAGAGGTTTGTAGTCTGGTGTCGTTTTTTTGTTAGTGCTTGGTGACTGAAGTATTTGTCTAAAAATCGAGAGGAGAAAGAAGGTGAACAGGACAGGATTTATCCATCGCTCAATTTCTCAGGGTCTGTGGTGTCGTCGTCTGGTAGCGGTACAGTGAGTACCGTGGGTGCGACGCCGGAAGCGAAGGGGAGCCATGATACCATCTTCAAATGTCCTTGGGCAAAATGGGCTGATGGCGTCTTCAGGAAGGAGCGACGACGATTGCGCTGCCGATAAACCACGTGAGGCGAACGAGGAAAGAGCGACCGGTCGGAAAGGTATCAACTTGAATTGGCAGCTACATAGAAACATTGATCGGGCTCGGGGCTTCGCAGAGGGGTGTACATGCTTGCGTAAAGCAAAAGGACAAAAAGGGCTCATGACAGGGTAACAAAGAGATTAAGATCGTAATCAAAAGAGGTATTGCAAGTTGTTTACATGCGGCTGCGATGGGGCCTAGGAACAGCCGGCTGGAAGAGCCTATCCGGCAGCCTGTTTCCATACTGATCGAAGCGGTAGTCCTCCTTTTGTTCAATCCACATCTGCCCAGCAAGTTAGCCTTGTGCTAACAGCTAGAGCTTGCTACCGTAGGGGCGGGGCGGGTAGCCAGCAGTGTTGTAACCACTCACCTCGCGGTCGGCGTAGTTCCTGTCCAACGGCACTGGTTGTGGATTTAGTATTTCTTCGTCGCCAAAGCCCGCGTCTCCTTGGAACCTACGCGAATAGTGCGCTGCACCAATGGGTTGCGGGGCGCCGTATTCGGCGTACGCAGGGGCTCGAGGGCCGTACTGACCTGGGCGTTGGGCGCGCGCGTTGCTCTGCATCCAGGAATCGCGCTCGGGGAGACGGTCTTCGTAGGATTCAGGGCGGCGGCCGAGGGGCTCGGGGAAGCGCGGGTTGTAAGTGCCTTGGGTCTCGATGGGGTACTGGGAGCGGTAGTGGTCCTCCTGCTGGTAGCGCTCGTCGTAGTGCGTCTCGTAGCGGCCGTCACGGCCTTGCTGCTCGAAGTGGGCGTCGTGACGGGGAGCAGGGCCGCGGTCGTCGAAGTGCTGGGGTCCGCGCTGGTGCTCGTCGATGTACACGTCGCGACGCTCCTCGTAGTGAGCTGGGGGCTGACGGTCGCGCTCAACCCAGACATCGCGGTGCTCCTCTACGTGTCGCGGCGGCGCGCCATCACGCTCAACCCAGACATCCCTCTCGATGTGCGTCGTGTGGGTGGGCTGGGCCTGAGGCTGGGGCTGGGGCTGGGGAGGTTCCTGATGGATGTCGATATCGATGTGCGTCTCCTTGTGGGTCGATTTGGGCTTCTTGGGCTCCTCGACTGGCTCCAGAGCAGTCAGGTAGCCGATGACCTCGCTGAGACTGGAATGCGCGATGGCGAGCTCCTTCTCCCGGTTCTCGAGCTTCTCCTTCTCGCTGAGCAGCCAGTAGACGCGGTGCCGCATGCCGATGCGGCGGCCGTCCTCGACATCGCCGGCGACGCGTTCCGTGTGCGGCGTGATGTTCTCAAGGGCGCCGCGCACGTCGCGCATGCATCCGTAGACCCACTTTGACTTTTCTGGGTTGGCCTCGAGGATGTCGTGGATCTCGCGGATGGACAGCAGGCGTCGCACTTCATCGAGGTCGGATCGGACGCGGCCAATGATGCGCACGTAGACGGCGTTGGATGGGCCAACGTCGCGGACGCGCTTGGCCTTGGTGAGGAACTCGGCGAGCTTGTAGGCACCCCCAAGGGCACCGGCGGCAGCACCGAGCGTGAGGATCTCTCCTTTAACCATGACGGGCGGTGAGGTGGCAGCTGCTGGGAGCTACCGGCTTGGTGAGGGTGATGTTCAATTGAGTGAAAGGGTGCCTGCGTCTCTGCCTGTACCTGGCGCGAGCATCCCGCGCAGGTTCAACCGGCGTGGAAAGTGGGGATAGGCGCTTTGGTGAGGTGTGAAGAGAGCAGAGTTGTTGTCGCTCAGCTACTCAGGGCAGCATTGACAGGGGCCGTAGCTGTTTAGTGTTATTCGGGGGCTGGGTGCTAGCCACATGGAGGCGCTCTAGCCTGCAGCTCGTCACTCCTCGCGACCAACCCGAGGTCTGAACTCCCCCAGAGCTCCACCCACGAACATGTGGCTTCCATCGCTTGCAACCGACGAGCTGATCGTGTTCATCGCGGAGATCCAGAGCGGTGAGGACACACGCTGGCCTCACCCAAAAACTGCCATTTGTCTGCGGTAAACAACATCTCCACGTCTTGTTTACTCCTTCCTGATACGCGCCTGGATCATCCCAGCTCGCCATGTCAGCTCCACTCGACAACGCACCGACCTGCCTGAAACTTGACACTCAAAACCTTGCTTTATTTACCGTATTTCGCAATGAACGCGCGAACTTTGGGGTCGCTCAAACTCAATTCACTGCCCTCTGCATCCAGCAGCTCGCGGTCCTTGTTCTCCAGCTCCAGCTCCATCGCCTTCAACTGCTCGTCCAGTTCCGGATTTGTCAAGCTAGCCTGGTGGAATGGTGCGTGCTTATATAGCGCACTCAAGATCGCCCTCAGGTCGGTGTCTGCTTTGCTTGTTCGTTCGGCAATTACATCATGAGCCGACGTCGCGGTAGACTCGTAGTGGCTTTGCAGCTTCTTGCTCCGCTCAAGCTGAGCTTGTTGCAGGGTGTCCTGCAGGCTTTCAATGTTGTCGTGACTAAATGATATGCCCGCATATCGAAGCGCGTCTTGCAATGTGACCGGGAGGTCCAGCGTCGATGTAGGCTTGAGCTTCACCATGGGTGTAAAGGCCGACGTGTCAGACCTCATGCGCTTCAATACGGGAGTTCCAACCGGTGGGTGTGTCTCCGGTATACGCTTCGCTGCTGCTGCTTGGACGTGCGCGAGTGCTTGTTGGAACTCGTCAGTGTCCTTCGTGCCAGTGTTGACTATGTTGAGACGTTTGCCCATGTACTCGAGCGTTGAGAGCACCTGATCTATTAGCAATAATCGCATGGCACTTGTGATGTACTCACATAATTCAGCCAAGCCTTTCGTGCCTGTGTTCTGTCCCTATCCTTGCGCTCCTTCATCTCGGTCATTGGTTTGCGTATCTCGTGCTCGACGACCATTTCAGCAACAGATGCGATCTCGGAGTGGAGCTCTTCTAGCTCAGCCTGCAGGGCAACCTTTCTCTCTTTGAGGTCTTCTTCTGTTTCTGCAACACCGTTCTGGGAACTGCCCGATGCGTTGTTGAGAAACACAGTGTCGACGCGAGCTTTGATCTCCGCCGCGCGGAAAGAGATAATAGCCTTGCACCACTGCTCCATCGACTTCTCGTCCTCGCTGACTTCAGGCTCGGTAACAATCTGTGACACCAACTTAGGGAGTCGGCTCAGAATTTGGTCGTCTGATGCAAGGCGCTCTGACAGGTAACCTTTGAGTGTTGACCTTTCAGAATCAATTTCTCGTTGGGCGTCGGTCATCTGTTCCGTGACTGATGCAACGACATCGTCGACCTACTCAAGTTAGCGGAGAACCATCTGTGGTGATTTGAAACTTACAGAGACGTCTAGTCGAGTCTTTTCCTGACCCTCCTTCCTTCTTCGCTCGTTCCTTGCATGCTCAACATCCAAGTTAGGCTTATCGAGAGCTTTAAGCTTCATTAACGCATCTTTCTGCGTCTCTAAAACTCTGCATTGCTCTTCGATCGCAGTAGTAGAGATCTTGAGTGATTCAATCGCTGCAGCAATTTCGTGGTCCAAGATAGGTCGGACGGGCTCACCCTCGCTTTCGTACTGATGCAAGAGACCCTTCTTCTTCAAAGTCTGGTACCTGAAAGCTCAATTAGCAAATGCCAAAATAAAGAGATTTTGTACTTACAGCTCTAGCTCTTCTTTGCTTAGTAGGGTATCTTCGTGAAGGTACTCGTCGACCCACGCCGCAGCTTCGTGCTTTGTACCCGCGTCTTCGAAACCCAGAAGAATGTTGTCGAGATCAACCTTGAGGCCTCGCTCTTCCACCACATTCAGCAGATGGTGAGCTGCTTGTTCTTCTTCCATACTCCCCACTTCTCATTCGTGTTCTTGCGGTGTGGGTATTTTGTGGCAGATGCGAAAGCAGTTAGGTCAGCGACATTCGATACGGCGCGCCACACGAGCCACTCGCGCAGTCGCGGTTCACGGCACCCTTGGAGCCTTCCCAATGCGCTCGCGACTTGATCTTTGACTTCAAACCACACCCATCTAAACCTGACTCCAACTCCTCAAAAGACTACAAAAATGCCTCCCACCGCTCTCGAGCCTGTAATAACGCCCGAACCTCCTAAAGAAACCGCCAAAGAAGCCTCCATCCAGCCCACCCCACTACCCACCACGGCCATGCCATCCAGCAACCCCACCCACGAAGAACACCAATACCTCTCCCTGATCCGCGACATAATCCAAAATGGCGAGCACCGCCCCGACCGAACCGGCACCGGCACCCTCGCCATTCCCTTCCCACCCCAAATGAAATTCGCCCTCTCGCGCCCAAACCCCGACCCAACACAACCACCCACCCCCATTCTCCCCCTCCTCACCACAAAACGCGTCTTCCTGCGCGCCGTAATAGGCGAACTCCTCTGGTTCGTCGCAGGCAGCACGCACAGCAAATCCCTCTCAGAAGCAGGCATCAAGATCTGGGACGGAAACGGCAGCCGCACCTACCTCGATAGCGTCGGTCTCTCCCACTACGAAGAGGGCGAACTAGGCCCCGTCTACGGTTTCCAATGGCGGCATTTCGGCGCCGAGTACAAGGGACATGCGGAAGACTACACGGGACAAGGCGTCGACCAACTCGCTGAAATCATCGACAAGCTCAAGAATAAACCGTATGATAGACGGATTATACTGAGTGCGTGGAATCCGGCGGATATTAAAAAGATGGCGCTGCCGCCTTGTCATATGTTTGCGCAGTTTTATGTTAGTTTTCCGGGGCATAAACAGGGGGAGGAGAGACCGAGGGGTGTGTTGCATAGTCTGTTGTATCAGCGGTCTTGCGATATGGGCTTGGGAGTTCCGTTTAATATCGCGAGTTATTCGTTGCTTACGCATATGCTGGCGCATGTGTGTGATCTCACGCCGGGCACTTTTACGCATACAATGGGGGATGCGCATGTTTATCTGGACCATGTGGACGCATTGAAGGTGCAGTTCGAGAGGGAGCCGCGCGACTTCCCGGAACTGAAGATAAACAGGGAGATTGGGGGCAGTATAGATGGGTGGAAGGCGGAGGAGTTTGAGGTACTGGGGTACAAGCCGCATGCGAGTATTGCGATGAAGATGAGTGTGTAGGATGTATACGATGTATGATGTCTCCACCACATGCTTTTGCATTGATACTATACGTTTGCACGCTTTTTATACACGTTGTAGCCTGCAGACACGCTATAAACGCTACAAACTCAACGTAAATACATTATATGCAGAGGAAAGGAAAATCATTTCTACCATTCCCACAGTCGCCAGAGTCCCCCTTTCATCCCCACCACACCCATCTCTCCTCACGAAGGCATCTCCTGCGGCTCGCTCCTCGGCCCATGATGATGCGCATACTTCACACTAGCCGGCAACTCACTCCTCACAGTATCCGAATCCGGCGCGTCCACATACTCCGGCGGCACAGCACCATACATGCTCTCTCTATTATACGGGCTCTTCTCTCCGTTAGCAAGCTTCGTCGCCTTCCTCTTGCGCCACCAGAAGGCCGCAAAGCCGATCAGCGCGAGGGCGACCAGACCGCCGATAACAGGGCCTGCAATCCATGCTTTGCTTGGCGAAGAGTCGTCGTTACTGTCTTTACTAGCTCCAGAGGATGAGGAGGGCGACGAAGAGGGGATCTCCGCATCGAGGAGGACAGCGTAAGTCGCGCCTGGCTGCTCGCTAATCACACTTGTTGTGTTCTGAAGGTAGCAATTGTTGAATCCGCCCTTCAACGTCGAGTCGAAGAGGATAGCTTTGCATCCCACGTTCTCCTCTGCACAAGCATCCATACAGGCCGTAATATTCTGCATATGTAAACTCGTAATATTAGTCCCCGGATTCAGTCTCCCACAGTGCACTTCAAAGCCCTTGGCATCCGCCGTGCCCGCCGCCGCCGTATACGATTCCCTATCTGGACATTTCGTATCGATCTGATCAATTTGCGTCATGACTGCCGAGTGAAAGAGGATGATGCCCGCGCCTACGTCCAGGCTATCTGTGTATCCAGAATCATCGCCCGTCTTGAGAATGCAGTTGGCGAAACCGATTACCATGCTGGGATTCCAGGATACGGCTGTGCAGAGCGGTTGCGCATCGACGCATATCTGCATGCATTCGTCGAGGGATTCGGCATGGTGGAACCATTGATAGTTGCCCTCGAGATGGGGATACCCGTCAAAGTCAGCTACGTTTGCCTTGATCATCTGCCCGCAGTGCGTTGTGTATTGCATGCCGTGGACGCCGGGGAGGGTGTTGGTGGAAAGATCTGCATGCGGACATGTTTCGTCGAAGCCTTCCATTTCGCTCCTCTCGATGAGGGCAGTGTACCGGTGGGGGTTTGGTTCGAGGAGATCGACGGTCGCGCTGCTGTTCTTCATGTAGCAGATGTTGTCGGGGTCTACCCAGAGGACGCCGAAACATCCTCCGCCGGGGCCCCAGAACCGTGAGCAGTGCTCTATGCATTCTGCGAAGCTGTCTAGTTGGATGGCTTCGGTTGGCGCGTCTGATGTCTATTAATGATGATCCCTCATGAAGGACATCGCGTGATCTGCTGCTCACCATTATT